TGAAGGGGAATAATTATCTTACTTTAATTTGTTCAATTTATCGAGAACCAGTTTGTTTATTCAAGTAATTAATTTCATTATAAATAATATGCATAATTATATCTTCCAGCACGTGACGTTATCGAACAGAATAGTACACACAATCCACAGCCTAACAACATTTTAAATGCCAGTGTTTTGACATGTTATCTCAGACTTGAGAATCAGTCTGCTGCTGAAACTAACAATTCATATAATATGTAAGTAAGAACCCAGTTAAATGCACCCACACACAATGTTAATGAACGAAAAAACCAGTTCAAATTGAAGAATGATGATTTAAAGTGATACCCCAACATTGTTTTGCTCCCACAGCCTGTGAACCTCATAGTCCACCGCCTGCAAAGTCAAACAAATCAAATTAACCCGAAATCCATATTGCAAAAAATAAAATTGAGAAAGTAGAAAAAGAATACAAATCTGGAAATCCTTAACAATCCAAAACCCAAAGCACACTCCAACGGTTAACATCAAAACTTCTTTTGATAAATTAGTGAAATATCAATAGAAATTGTTCATTTCCCAGATCCAGATTCAATCGAGTCAATCTACACATAAATATAACATATATATAAATGGAAATATAAAGATACTGACACGTTGACCGATTTCTTTGTGAAACCCAATTTCTTTATGTCACATAACGTTTTAATTAACCCATTTTTTTGTGTTTTTTGAGTCAATTATTATTTACAAAACAATCCAAAACCCACAAAATTAGGGATGTTCTTGACATTTTCAAACTATTTTCTGTTTTCAATTTTTCAAAATAGCAAAAATGTGCTCTTTTTTTGAAAACGGGAAAAAAATTGTACTAAAAATACAAAATGTTATTTTTATCGTTTTGGGCGTTTTCGGTACAAAACACGGGAAAATGGAAAGCGCAGAGAGATGGATTTCTATTGAAGTAATATGACATACCTTGATATAGCGGCCATAATTCAAAACTGAACACTATACCCAATCTCTGGTAAGCCAATATGAATAATGTCTTCCGTGATTCTCCCTGCACCAAAAATAAAACTCGGACAAAAGAAAAGAAAAGATAATTTTGTGATATTTGATACAATATTCAATGCCAAAGGTCTGAATCTCGATAGGATATTTTTAGTGAAGTTCCACAACCCTAAAAAGTAACATTATTACATCCAAGAAAACTTCAACTGAATATAGCCAAAAGAGGTGGGACTAAAGAAAATATGATGTTTCTTCAATAAATTAGCATTTTCCTTCTATACTCAATTTATCCATGGTAAAATAGTACTACGAATTACAGTTTGTTAACAAGAAACCAGATGATGACAATTATTATGGAATACATTCTAGTAATTTAAGAACCCCACATTTTTTAAATAAGGCCTCTGGTGATGAAGGCCACGTATAACTTGCTGCTATCCAATCTTGAGCCAAGTTTTTTCTGCTCAAATGGGTAAAAAATTACCGTAACAGTTCAACGAAAGTAGTTCTTCAACTGATCGAAAAAAATGATGGTATTTGTTATTTCCATGTGAAGTTCGTCGTGTACAGGATAAATTGATAAAACTTCCACTACCAAGTATGATCACTAAATCAAGAAAAATGATTTAAAAAAATAAAAAAGGAAAGGAACAAAATTCCCAAATTATTTCTCTATTTATGCAGTGCGTCAGAATGATCTTACCTAAGTGGCTCATGAAATGAATTGTGATAATGCTTAATGTCAAAAGTAAATGGAAAATAAAGATATAATCCATTTAACA